TTTACTATCTGCTCCCCACGTGTTGTGTGCAACAGTTTTTATAATGTTAAGTGCAGATTGACAAGTACTTTTTAGATCATGAATGTGGTGGTTCCAGGATAATCTGTTGTCAAATGTCATGCCTAGACATTTAAGTTTCTCAACATATTTTATTTCTTTATTAAATAGTTTTAATTCTGGAGTGATATAACTTCTTTTTTTGAAAATAGCATAGCCTTTGATTTTGTTGTTGATAATTGAAGACCTGTAGAATTTGTCCATAATTCGAGATTCCATAGCACTTTCTGTAGATGGGTCTGAAGGGTTTTATCATTTATCCCCTTAACAAAAATGATTAAGTCATCTGCAAAGAGTCTAGCTTTTACTGGTAAGTCACAAGTGGAGATAATATTATTTATTGCAATAAGAAATAGGGAGACGCTTAAATTAGATCCTTGAGGAATTCCGTTTTTTTGAATTTTTGTATTAGATAAAGTACCGTTAACTCGTACATTAAAAGTTCGATGAGATAGGAAATTTTTTATGAATTGTACTATATTACCTTTTATTCCCCATCGACTAAGTGTTTGAACAATACCATGTCGCCAAACTGTATCGTATGCTCTTGTTATGTCAAAAAATATTGCGATACATTTTTGTCCACATGCCATTGCTTCATGAATCTCAGACTCTAAACTAATAAGATTATCCAGTGTTGAACGACTTTTTCGGAATCCGCTTTGTTCCGGGGCAAGTAATTTATTATTTTCTAAAAACCACATTAATCTGTTGGATATGATTTTCTCGAGAACTTTACACATTACACAAGTTAGAGAAATAGGTCTATATGAATGTGACAGAGATTTTGGTTGATTTTGTTTATAAATAGGGATGACAATAGATGAACTCCAGATTTTTGGAAACTTGCTATATCTCAATATTGTTCTGAAGCTATTTTCTTGTGGCATTGTAAATTAATTACTATTTATAACTGGGAATAAGCCACAATTAAAGATAAAAAATACGTTTATTGACGTTTCAATTTCCAATTCGGAAATCGTTCTCAAAATACAAATAGTAAATTAAACAAATTTTGTTTTTTTTTGGGATAATGAACATAGGGTTCAATGGAATAATTCAAATATAGTCCTAAAAGAAACGGATGGTAAAAAAAGAAAAATCAAAGAAGCGGCTCTAATTAGGCTAAATGAGGCCAATTGTGTCGCAAAATCCTCGGCAGAATGTAGTAGGATCTGGTTACCAATATTGAAAGAGGAAGTTATTAATAAGAAAATACCAGTATTAGTAAGTCAGTAACATATAGAGGATACATCATTTATGTTTTTTAAATAACGTAACATATAAAATCAGAATTTTGATGTTTGTTGAAGGTAAACTAAATTCACGAACAAATACTTACAATGTCGGGATAGTATTATGAGGTTTTTTTTCCTGGTTTTTCCCTCATAATTTACTATGGAATCACTAACAGGAGAATTTTACTGTCAGCATGTCATGTGTTTGTCTTTTTAAAGACGAATTACATGCCATGATTTTTTCTGACGGATATTCTCGAGTTAAAAGTTGATTTCATGTAATCGAATGAACTATCTTATAGTAAAGTCGTCCCAGGAGCGCAACTCAACAATATTGGCAATATCATTTTAAAGTCGTCTACTTTAAAATGCATATTGTATGTCTGAATTGTCAATATAAATGAGTCAGATAAAATTAAATTATTAGAAGAATTTTTTCACTATGTAACAAAAAACAAAATTTGTTTAATTTACTATTTGTATTTTGAGAACGATTTCCGAATTGGAAATTGAAACGTCAATAAACGTATTTTTTATCTTTAATTGTGGCTTATTCCCAGTTATAAATAGTAATTTGCTATATCTCCATATATTATTATAGATATTCAGCAAGTGTTTCTTTGCAGATGAAGGAAGTTTTTGAAGAAATATTGCAGGAATGTTATCAGGACCGGGAGAAGAGTTTTTTGTATTATTGAGTGAGTATTCTAATTCATCCATGGTTATGGGATAATTTAAAGGAGAAAGGTCATCAGGCGGTATATCAATACCTTTGGATTCCTCTTTCTCTTTTTTGGTCAAAAAATCTGGAGGAAGAACATTATCACTTGAGAATCTTTCAAAACTATTAGCTAGAATATTAGCTATGTCTAGAGGGGAAGTGTATATTTTTTGTTTTTCTTCTAAGAAGTTAATGTGGTTTGGGGTATTTTTCCCGGATATCTTTCGTACCATTTGCCATACTTTATTAATTGGTGTAGATGAATTTAATTCTGAAACAAACTTTTTCCATGATTCACGTTTACTTCTTTTAATTATAAATCTAGCTCGTGCTTTTAGTCGTTTGAATTCTAATTTATTTTCAAGTGTATTATATTTCCTGAATCGATTTAATGCTGTTTTTGAAAGTTTAATAGCTTCTTGACATTCATAATTCCACCAAGGGACTGACGAATTTAATTGTTTAGGATTCATTTTACCAACGGCTTTTTCGGCAGCATTCAATAATACATTGGAAAACTCTTGAATTTGACTATCAATATTATTATTTGATTGTAAAATTTCATGTAATGCATTCATTTCATTTAAAACTAGATTATAATACTCTTGCCAATTTGCATTTTTGATATTCCATTTTTCAACATTACAAAAGTATTGTATACTGTCAGGATTTGTTATTACAATCGGAAAATGGTCACTATCATTTAAATCAGAAAGTACATCCCAAGATAAGGTAGCTGATAATGCTGGATCACATATTGAAAGGTCTATGGCAGAGGATTTACCAGTAGAAATGTCAAAATGAGTATTTCTTCCATCGTTTAGTAGGTTTAACTGAAAATTGTCCAACATTATTTCGATTCTACGACCTAATGGAGTAATTATTTTTGATCCCCATATGTAATTATGTGCATTAAAATCTCCAACTATTAGACGAGGTGAAGGTATTTGTTTAATCAAGTCTGAGATTTCATTATTGCTTGGGTTTTGTGTAGGTGAAATGTATATATTACATATGTTCATTTTTACAGGCCCTTTGATAGTAATTGCGACCGCTTCAAGTTGTGTATTGATTTGAAGAATGTCTACATCGATGGATGAATGAGTGTAAATTGCTACGCCACCACTAGCATGGTCTACATTTTCTCTATTTTTATATGTGCACGTGTAGTGTTTTAAATTATGAACTTTAGTATTTTTAAAATGAGTTTCCTGTAAACAAAGTATGGATGGAGTAAGTTTTTTAATCATTTGTTGTAATATCTCAAGGCGAGTGTAATATCCTCGTAGGTTCCACTGGATAATTGAGAAAGCCATTATAATATATCTTTTACAATTTCGTTATCGGATTCGGTGTTAGTTTCTGATTGTATGGATTTAAGTATTTTGTTTCGAAGTCTAGTGCATCTATTTTTTGATTTCCTATTTGATAAATTCTCATGTAGTTGATTTAAAAGTTTCAATAGGTTTTCTAGATCATTTGTATACGTTTTTATTAAGCTTACTGGGTCAGGAGTACCATGAGCATTTTCCAGTATATCTACTAATGTTTCATAAGATATTGAATGGTTTACTGAAGTATCTTCATATATTCGTCTAGCTGAATTTTTTATATCGTCAGTTACTTTAATGGTTCCTATGTTTGTGATTGAAGACTTTGGCTTTTTTAATTTAGGGTCTGGAAAGGGGTTATTTACTGGAGTATCATTTGGTGGGGGGGTTATAATTTCAGAGCGATTTCGTTTGTTTGAGGGAGGATCGTGGGACATTTGTTGAAAATCAGTGCTGTCTTTAACATGAGTAGATGGTAAAATATGAATATCCGGTTTAGTCGATAGTATAGGAGCCGAGGAAGATATGTTTTGCGTTAGGGGAATGTATTCATTGTCTATTGGATCAGTTGAAGTAGTTGGAGCAGCATTTTGTGCTTGAGATGTTTGAGTTTCTTTAGTAGTTGGGCAATTTCCAGCCGAATGTCCCGCTTGCCTACAATTAGTACATAGATCCTTCTCCATTACAAGAAATATACGATATGATGTCATTTCGTAATTCACAATTATTGAGTCGGGTATTGATGAGACTGGGGGAGAAATAAAAGTATGCCTTCTGAAACTGAAAATGTGTTTGTAATTAGGATTTGATGTACCAATTTTTAAAAAAATTATTGGAGTTACCAAAGTTAATCCCAAATTAGAAAGTGCATTTTCAATAATTGAATGTGGGATTGAAGGACAAACATTTGATATCAATAATCTTTCATTTGGTGACATTAATTTACGAGCCTGAATTTTTTGATGGTTTACAGTTATCCCTTTGTTAATTTGTAGAAAATTGTTAACTAAAGTTTCGCTTGTTAGATAAATGCAAATTCGACCATTTGACATTCTAGAGGAGAAGAGAATATTTTTTGGATGCATTAAATCACCAACTGCAAATAGATAGTCTTCCAACTTTGTATTTTCCAACGCAGGAAAAACTATTGCTTGTGTTTTGGATGGAAATTTAGGTACATTTTGATTTGTGACAGTTGTAAAAGATTGTTTCATATTTGTATTTGATGAACTTTGCTCCAGTTCTTGTTCAGGGGCCCCAAGAGGCGGAAAATTATCCATTTTTAATTATTATGATCGATAATTCTCAAAAACCTAGTCCGGTCCTGTCCCCTCGATATCAGAACTGATAAACGGTAGCAGTAAAAAGTTGTTGCTTTATAACCAAAATTGATTCTTGTTTACGTGGATTTAACTTAAATGTTAATTATTTAGATTAAATAAATATTTGTACTCACAGATTTTATACTTGTGGTGAGAAAAATCACTTAGATTCACTTTTTAAGTAAAACTGTAATTAGTTTGATGCTTTTTAACACCTAAAAACTGGATTTATGTGGAGCTTGTTTTAAACCTCGTTTGACTTCAGAGGTCGATCGATCAATCAATAAAAATATTTTGTTTGCTTTAAATATATAAATAATAAGAAACTTACTGATTCTGAAATCTGCTATTTGCCTGACGAAGCCAATTTTTAATGCAGTCAATGATTTCTTTTTCTGTGCAGTCACGAGCAGCTGGATTCCTACGTACACTTTCTAGAAATACAGAAAATAAAATTTAGTTATCCAAAGAAAAAAGCTGCATGAAAATTACTTCGCCATTCAGTAAAGTCTATTCATACACAATAATATATCAATGTGGTACTTGCAATAGGATGTATTTTATTAACTTTTAGAAGAGTTAAAGAAACAGCCCAAAATGACAAGTTTAAATTTTTTAAAGAATCAGTAAGGGACACGTTTTTGGCTCCTATGTTAAGTTGGTAAAAGTCAACTTAAAGCCTATTGTAAGTATCACATCAACGACTTAATACTTAAAATTACTTCAGCCATTTTTAAATTTGAAAACATCCTTTTCTTTTTGGCTTCAAGCCAACTAAATAGGGCTGCACAATTGTCTGTCATCACGTCTTAGTATCATATTTGTTATTTCATCAACCATGAAGCCTCCAATTCGACTAAGAGCTTGTGTCTACAATAATTAAGAAAATAAACTAATATTCAATAATTTTAATTAGAAACATACCAATTTATTTTTGAAGATAGTATTGGTAGCTAACTTTGTTTCCATTATATTTAGTCGAGAGGTATTTGAGAAACAATACCAAAATTGGGTATTTCTGTTAGAATTGTTGTTCCTAAATGGTATTCTTCATCAGTCTGCAAAATGAAATTTTTATTAGTTCTCTTCATATAACGAATTTCAGGAAAACACATTCTTCTATTTTTATATTCCCCTTCTTGAGTACATTTAGTGCATTCAAAATAACCAGCATGTCACTGAGTCTTTGTTATAAAAGATTTAGCAGGAGCATCACACACCATACAATATATTTCAAAAATATATTTTTTTCCTTCATAAATTACACCATTTTCAATGAGCTCAAGTAATGCTTTTACAAACTCTTGCAGAAATTCATTGGCATCATTAGGTTTTGAGTAGCCATGGTAGGCTCCTATTAAAAATACTTTTGAACTAGAGTTAATTGATCCCAATATTGGCCACAGCTGACTATTGTTTGACGCTGATAGTGGTAATCCATCAATTCCAACCTTTAAAGTAATTTTAGAGGATTTGAAACAATTACTGTCCAGCCTAAGGATATTTAATATATGACAATATTTGCCCGGATGTACATCTCTAATTAAAGTGCTTCGAGGGGTCTTTAAGAGAGCCCTTGCATCATTTGGAATTTGGTGTCCATTAGGCAATTCTTGATTTAAAATAGTCAGTAACTCAGATAATGCTTTTTGATTAATATTGTTTTGTAATGCCCAGTCAACAATTATTTGTCTAAGTGTTTTGTTCTGTATTGTATCATTTAATGGAAATTTTAAATGTTCTAAATTTTCTGAGCTTTGGTCCAAATCTGAACTACTAATATTCAAACTACTATTATTCTCTGAAAGAAAATTTAAGTTGTTACTGTCTGTTAACCCCAAATCAATGTCATTAAAGTTAATATTTAGAATCTCAGCATTTTTGTTTTCTGGTATGTTTCGTTTTGAACTGTCAGGAAGATCACACTTCTGTACTGGAGAGTTTTGGATTACAGTATTTTTGAATAAATAAGGGCTACAAATAGTTTCTCCGTCAGCCACCACATCAGTGTTTTTAGCAGAATGATCAACTACCAACTCCTTTGCTATTCGTCGCAAATGTCTGTCATAAATATCTACCAAGCACTTTCGTTTTAATCCAGAGTTTGGATACATTTTTTTAAAGACAAAGAAAAAAAACGGTAACACAATAATGTAACTGTAAAGTTAGGTTGGGTTGGAGAGAAAAAAAGAATACTTACCTCAGTAAGTCCACACTGTTTTTAATTTGACACCAGCCGAATGAAAATACCTATGCAAGGTTACTAAATATGGACATGGATCTTTTTGGCAACGGTAATGTTGATTTAGTCTTCCACACAACAAACAATAAATACTACGCTTCACCATATTGTTTGTTAGACGGCGCATGCTTCGACCGTCTAATTTGATGTCCAGTGGATATACAGTGGATATTTGTAAATTGTGTACTAGAGATAAGGATTTGAATATATAATGGATATCCATTAGATATCGAAATAAGCAAATGCATTCTAATCGAAGAAATTTGTTTAGCTGTTGTAACAGTTGGTAGACAATTGCATATAAGTATCTCAGTTGTTTTAAGGAGGTGAAATATATTTTATTCTAAAAAATAAACGTCCAAGTCTTATGACCAAAAGATATCCATTAGATATCCGCACAGATATGGATATTGTATGGATATTGTGGATGTCCATTAGATATCCACTAGACGACATGTGCTGTGTGGGTCAATGGTCAAATGTTGATGAAAATGTAACAAAACAGATTCAGCCTCATGCTAATTGCAAAAAAAGCACACTAGAATCCACTGGTATACAATACATGTTGTACCGCTACAATGTCTACAAGTTGAGTAAACGTTCCGATATCAGAGCCATCTATGCATTACTTATTAAAATACAAGTATAGATGTAAATAGATAGAAATCTACTTTGTACTACTCATTTACTCTAGCGAAAACATGTGGTACAAGGGTCATACCAGCGATACTTAAAGGGTTATAATCTCAAATTGAAATAATAAAGTAGCAAATATAAAAGAATAAAAAAATAATAAACTAAGATATGAGAGTCCGCAGAAACTAATTGGTAATAAATTGCCTAAATGAAAATTAAAGAACCGGTAATTATTATGATCTTATGACAGTCGTTATTCATTATTATTAGCTATGCTACTAGGATGATAAAAAAATTTGATATATGAATAATAGGGAGGTGATAATATAAATTTGTACCATTGCTTCTAGGCTACAGATACATAAAGTTTGTATATGTCAGTATAGAAGGAGTAATGACCTTTATATATTTTTTTAAACAAATTTTACTTCGTTTTTAAATTACAGATGTGGATAAATTTCTGATATAAAACGACTAATTTATATTTTAATAATGACGTTATAATTAAATTTTCTGGAAAATTCTAGCATCGGAGGTCATCACAAATTATTCATAGTTAATACTCTTAAATAATTTCTACTAAATCGTGATTTATTTCCAACATATAATTCATTTTGCCCCTGTGGTTAAATCCTCTAATAGATTGCATTAAATACCGACCTATAAGGAGCAAGAAAGCCGGGATTTTGGCCTTATGTCATATCACAGGGGATTACTCTGTTATGTATATGTCGACATTCAACATCCCTTGACATATTTCATGTACCTATGTGTGGTTTCATGGCAAATGTTTGTGTAATATTAGGGAAAACCTATTTGTTTGGTTTTACCGTAACGGTTTAATTACGAAACAAAGTTGATTTAAAACATTATTAACTAGTTTTTTTTAATAAGTACAGTAGAACCTTTCCTATTCAGATTAATGTGGAAACCGACCGATCCAGATATGAAAAAATCCGAATATCAAGACCATTTAAAAATATGTAGCTGTAAACAGCCTGAAATTTATATACTAGTTTATAGCATATTAGGCATTTATTATTAGATCTAAAATACAATACATACATACATTAAAAAGAAGAAAAGTAAAATAAAAAAATAAACATTATAGAGTTTTAAAGTTTACTTTCTGTTCTTATAAACCAAAAATTAAACATTTATAAACATAGTACATACATAAACACAGTATGATTAATACTTAGTAGTATTATTAAGTATAATTATTATATATATAATATATATTATATATATATATAGTATAATAATAATTATAAGTATTATTAATACTTAAAAGAAAAAGTTACATAAATTATTTACAAAAAGTTACACATTACAGTTATAGTGTTCTAAAGAAAATTTACTTTAAATTAAAAGGAAACATATATAATTGAAACAAAGTTCTTACTCACAAAATAACATTAGTTTCTGAAAAAGTTGGTTATTTTCAACTGCTTTCCACACTGTACAAGTTTATTGACAGTCATGTCTCTCATCCTTTTTAGGGCATTACGAAGCTTGCAGAATAGTACGACCTTACAGAATATTACGAATAGCACGAGTAAGTCACCAAATGGACGACGAAGAAGTATTGGCAGACCAAGAAAAAGATGGTGCGGCAATTTAAACAATTTAGGAGGCTAATATTGAAGAAGAAACAGGATTTAAAGCGTACATACTAGAAAGAAGAAGAATATGAACCTTGCACAAGTATCTTCTTGACTTTAAACGTAGCACATCAGAGCCTTGAACTACCTAAATGCTTGGGAGTGGCTCATTACGACCGGATTTTTGTCAATACTTAGATCCCCTTCGTTGTCTGAGTTTTTGTCATCATTCTTGCACACCATGTTCAATATAACATCGTCTGTTAATTCGTTCTGTTCTTCTGCTCTTAACCACTTGCTAACATTGTCTTCCTGCATTTTTTACATCACGCCAGGTTCTCTAACAGTTCAGAAATCTCTTATTATTTGGAGATTTCATTGGTGACTTCATCTGCTGTCTGTCCCGTCCATTCATCCGATGCTTTGTGGTTATGGCTTCTTCCATGACCTTAGCATTGGTATTAGTTTTATGTCATTTAGTGGTTTTGGGTCAGACTGAGACGGTCCGTTAACCAACAGCAGGACTGCCTTTCTCGGTAGATTATTTTTTGCTAAATGTTTTTTAACCTTTAATACAAATTGATTTTGAAACCATTTTTAAATAGAAGACTGTTCATCAAAGTACTCTTTTAATAACAGTTCTAAACTGGTAGTAAAGAAAAGTGTCTGACAGTTTTAAAAGCCCTAGGTTTTTTGACTTTCCGATGAATTCTAGTGGGAGTTTGTGAGATCCTGTAGCGTTGTCCTGTAGACTTAAATTGCCACCTTTTTTTCTTCTTGCTAAGACCTGGTACACTGTCTTTTTGTTTTGAGTTCAGAGTGTATTTCGGTAGCATTATATAATTGGGACCTGTTCTTCCCGTAGATTTCGTACGCCGTATCGATTTTTCCCACTCTTTAACCATCCTTCACTTGCCAGTTATTATCATCTCCAATTTCTTTGTTAAAGTGTAAGGCATTTTTTTTAACATAAACTCTGAGATTTGTAATCGCCGCTCTCTTCTTTGGGCGAACCAAAGACACAAATATTCATTAATATGGTTGTTAGGGGTATTCTTATCAGTTTCTGTTTCTTTATCCCAGTTGTTGCAGCCTGCGATGAGCACCACTTTTCAATTTTGTTTCTAAATGTTTTCCAGTCACTCACAGTCCTAGTCCCTAACCTCATATCTACAGCAATCTTCTTAGCTATTCTACCAGTATCGTCAACGCACGAAATTTCCACGCGAAACAATGGTCACTTCTCAATAGTAAACAAAGACTGAGAGCAAACACAGACCGAGAGTCGGAACGTATAAAAAGGGCGGAAGAAAGTCAAACGGGTGGAGAGAGTCTACTACTCAAGGTCACATACTTCTCTAGAAATACACATCTATTCGTAGATAACTAGGCGCGGAGCCGTTCATATCTCCTTTCACCCGTCGCACAGTTCGAAAAATTTGTACCGCGAATCGTCCGGCTGTGGCAGGTTATACTGTACTTATAACTACAATTTTTAATTAGTGACGAGGTTGAATGTGTTTTATAAAATTTACACTTTACTTTTTGTTCGTATATTTTTAATTTTAATTTTTACTGTACGTGACAACATTGTACTGGCAACGCCGCCATAAGTCAAGGTGAAGATGACAGTTGCCCTTAACGGACGCTCAATCATTGACGCTACAAGCACAGAATAATAAACAAACAGAATGCCCACTCTCCACGGAAAATTAAGTACGCGCATATCCTTCGCGCAGACGTTCCGCCATGTTTTACGAGGATTTTAAAGGGAACCAGTGTTGTTTATGTGGTGTGCATGGAAAAAAAACCAGGTTTATTTGACTTACGGCAATCATAGACATACTATACAATTATATTAACAGTTTTAAATAAAATAACATAAATATAATATAATTAAACATAAATGTAAACAATTGCATAACCTCACAAATCATATGTTTGTGTCCTCCTAAAACATGGCGCGCGTGCTGAAAAACTTCAAAGGCGGCATCTGAGAGTGGCCCTTCTGATTGTTTATTATTCTGTGCTACAAGTATAAAGAACAATAAAGCTATATCGATTACCAATCGAGTTTCATTTCTGCTCAGACTATACTATATTCTAAAACAAGATTTACCAGCACATAAGTTTATACAAGTGGTCCTTCGATCCGTATGTCTAAGAAGCAATTATATAAAACAAGTTTAAGTATTATAATCATCAATTATCTATTTACAAAAATTGTGGGAAAAGCAGCAGTAAAAATCACAAAAACATTTTTTAAAGCTAACAATGTTAAATAGAATTTTAATTAATGAAAATTTCAATACACCCCTTATTCAGATTAAGGGGAATCTTAAATTATAGACCTCTGTAATCCTTATCAAATAATCCTAATAACCTAAAACCCCTTATTTCATTACATTTTTTAATTGGTCGTCCAATTACAATGCTTTCTGACCTGACGTATCAGAAGTTCCGCCAACCAGGTTGTCTAGACTACAATCTGTTCATTAATTATACCAATAATTTTGGATACAAAACTACGCTGGACTGACAAGTCATACCTGTACTTAATAGTAAACTATAAGGCCAGAACATTTGAAAAGAAAATAAACATATACGAATGAAGTATGGCAGACCAAAGATA